TTAACCGACTGAGCCACCCAGGCACCCCGAAGCAAGTGCTCTTAATACTTTTGTTTTGAAGCTTCATTCTGTATAGACTTTATGTCTGTATGCCCTGCTTACAGCATAGTAGGAGCCAGCTTTTAAGGAGATCCAAGAGAGCAAACACTATAGCCAAGAGTGCAGAGAAACTTTTGTGCAAACACTTGATGAAAGTTAAACAAAAGCTGTTCAACTGGACTTTCATTTAGTATAAATAAACATGCTTTGTGTTGACCCTGGACAGGCATGGATTCCTAAGTAGAACTGGAAATGCTCTCCACTCAGACCTCTGTTCTGGGAAGAGGTACAGCCTGGTGTCCAGGAAGAGATTTCTTTTTTTTCTTTTCTTTTTTCTTTTTTTTAATGTTTATTTACTTTGAGAGAGAGATACACAGCATGAGGGAGGGAGGGGCAGAGAGAGAGGGAGTCACAGAATCTGAAACAGGCTCCAGGCTCTGAGCTGTCAGTACAGAGCCCCATGTGGGAGTCGAACGCACGAACTGAGAGATCATGACCTGAGCCAAAGCGGGCTGCTCAATTGACTGAGCCATCCAGGCGCCCCATGAGATTTCTGGTAACGTATGGTGATGGGGTGACTGTCACAGGCTGTGCAGGCACATTTCAACATTTGGATGCCTTGTTAACTCTGATACTTAGGGTCGTGTTTTAACCCAGACTTATTTGGCTGTCCGTGAAAGTTTGTAAGTTGTATGTACATACTCTGTCCCCAACATACACATTTCTGGCCCCAAACATGGGCAGCTCCTAACTCTGGCAGTATATTGAATTTAACGCTACTGAAAAACAATAAAGAAGGTAAACTTTGATAACTTCATTTGCAAAAATCATTCTTAAGAATTTAGTATTGTCCATGTTCATAGTCTTCCCTCTTTAAGGTTAAATGAGAATTGACTGTGTCTCAGTCTATCAACTAAATACTTCATTTTCATGGAGAGGAGTTGAAGAATATACAGCTTACATATCCAAGTTGAGGATCAGTTGAAATTATAAAAGCATAGAGTTGTGCGGTTTTCTCACAACTGTAAATATTTCAGTTCTAGGGAGTCAGAAATCGCCACTGCTGGCTCCATAAGTAAAAGTGATGTTAAATGTCTGATGTTCATCCGATGGGCAGCCACTCAAAATCTGACCTTTAGGAGATAGGTTTTTTCCCCACCTGACTGAGATTGAATTGAACTATAATGATGTATTTTGAAAGGTTTTTTTAATCTATTAGATAAACAATAAAAAATGTCTGGTGACATAGTACAAACTTACATGCATCTTTTTTATATCTGCTTTAGTTAACTGTGACAGGTAAAGGAAACTATTTTATCATGACTACAGGAAATCACTAAGCATTATATAATTGAGGTGATATTTTTATGTTTCTGTACATAACATAAGGTCGGTATGTGGCCTGTTGATTACCCACAACTGAAAAGCAGTACAGAACAAGTACCTTAAGTCATGTGCTTTGTAACATCAAGTGGTATCAGATGCCACTACATGATTTATCTTTTATTCATCAGACATGACTTGTGGACATTGAGAGCAACATACTAATTTGATTTCCTTTTCTCCTTACAGTAAAGGTATGTGTCATTGTCTGTGTTTTTCTTGAATACATAAAAATTTGACTAACTGGCATCGGTGAACTCAAGTCCTTGGTCACTGGCATACTCAAGTGGCAGCAAAGTACAATGGAGGCCTTTGAAGACAGAAGGAAGAATTACAGTTATGCCATGGAGTACAAACAGCTTTTATTTTGTACTTGGCTTTTTAGTAAATGGCCTTTGAACTTGATTTCCCTCTTTTTGTACAGATGATGTTCGAGAGATGCCTTTTCAAAGAAAAGATTTAAAAAACACTCTGTTGGGGCTCCTGGGTGGCTGGCTCAGTGGGCTGTGCATCTGACTTAGGCTCAGGTCATATCTCATGGTTCGTGGGTTTGAGCCCCACATCAGGCTCTGTGCAGTCAGTCAGTCCAGAGCCCGCTACCAATCCTCTGTCTCCCTCTCTCTCTGCCCCTCCCCTGCTTTCACTCACTTTCTCAAAAATAAACATTAAAAAATAAATAAAATACATTTTTGGGGCACCTGGGTGGCTCAGTCAGTTTAGTGTCCAACTTTGGCTCTAGTCATGATCTCACCATTCATGGGTTTGAGCCCTGCTTCTGTCTCTGTGCTGACAGCTCAGGGTCTCAAGCCTGCTCCAGATTCTGTTTCTCTCTCTCTCTCTCTCTCTCTCTCACTCTCTGCACCTCTCCTGCTCATACTCTGTCTCTCTCTTTCTCTCTCTCTCTCAAAAATAAGCATTAAAAAATTTTAAAAAGTAAAATATAACACACTGTGTTATTTCATGCTTTTATTTATTTTTGTTATTTCATACTCAAAAAAACCCTCTTTTCTGTTGATGATGATTTATTAGAATATAGACTCAGGTTGTAGATGATAATATCAGAAGATAGGCCTCAGTTTAACTGAAGGATTGATATAATACCTTTATTATAAGACCGAGGTGAAATTGTTTTGTCTTAATTGCTAGAATTCCCTATCACTGAGGAATCTGAAAAAGACCTGAAATTAATCTCACTGTAATGAAACGCACGTTCTTTTGGCCTTCAGAGTTTGTCACCCCTGACTTAGTTCAAATTGAGGACCAGTCTTTGAAAATGATACATTATAAGGGCGCCTGGGTGGCTCAGTCAGTTAAGACTCTTGATTTCAGCTCAGGTTATGATCTCGCAGTTCATGCTTGGGAGTCTCTCTCTCTGCTTGTCCCCTCACGCTCTCTCCCTCCCTCCCTCTTTCTCTTACTTAAATAAACTTTAAAAAAGATGCCTTGTTTATTATGAGTTTTGCTATCACAGGCCTTCAATACTCTGATCACCATCATCATACAAAATGTGAAGCGAGGGGCAGGGCTGTTTGAAAATGGCCCTGGGTGTTGGTGGTTCACTTCAGTGGCCTCAACAGTGAGCCGTGTGGTGCTGCTCCCTTACCTTTTCCTTTCCCAGCAGCAGTGTCTGCGCACGAGTTTAGCTTACTTCCAGACTAATGGCTTCCTTCTCACTCCTGCAGGGACCCCCTGGTCTCCAGATGCTGGGCCAGTGGTTTCCAGCTATTCCCCCAAATTTAGTAATTTTTTTAATGTTTTATTTATTTCTGAGAGAGAGAGAGTGTGTGAGCAGGGGAGGGTCAGAGACAGAGGGAGGAGATACAGAATCCAAAGCAGGCTCCAGGCTCTGTGGGCTCTGAGCTGTCAGCACAGAGCCCGACGCGGGGCTCGAACCCACCAACCGTGAGATCGTGACCTGAGCCGAAGTCAGACGCTCAACTGACTGAGCCACCCAGGCGCCCCATGTTCCCCCAAATTTAGAGTGCTTGTCCCTCAACTGGAAGAGGGTTTTCACTCTTGTCCTGTAAAGGGAGGAAAATAAAGATTGGCTCCTTTAGAAATGAGGGGATATGCACCCAAAAAGTCCAGAAAGGAGAATTCTAGTGAGTTATAATAAGCCAACAAGTTTCGTTCTGTTTCGCGTTTTACAAAGCAGCTTCTGCCGTAGGGAAAAAAGCCCTTGGAGAGAAACCTGTCCTTTGTCCTGCGCTGTTAACGGCAGTACCGACAGTGTTGGGGTTGTTAGAGATGCATAAAGACACCTCATTTGTCACCTAAGAACTTGTCTGTGAATAGTGGCCTCTGTTTTTGACTGAGTCTTGACGCTTTAGAGTAGGAATATGAGCGGATGTCTGATTACATGTATAATCCGAATTTTGATATTACGAAGGTTAACAAGAGCATCAGGATTCTGATAGGAAATATGGCAGATCGTTGGCTAAAAATAAATCCATTGTGTTGTGGTTCTTATGAAGGTTCACTGGTAGCCTTTTGAGCATTTCCGCCCTGGGGAAGAGAGCTATCTGTAATGTGTTCCGTAAAGGTTAAAATCTAGAGAAGATGATTCTAAAGTGTCTTCTCTGTGCTCAAGGGAGGTTTCAGAGTATGTACCACTTAACAGAATAATTAGGTGGGCCTTAAAATCTGTCTGGGAAACAAGTGACTGTTCTGTGCATGGCCCCAGAGGGAGAAGACTCCAGAGGTTTTTGTTGCATGGAGAGCAGAAACCGTACCTGCTCAAAAGAGTTGTAAAATCCAGATTGAAAAAGCATTGAGGACAAAGTAATTGCGTTTTTATCTTTAAGTTAATGGAAGGAGGGGCACCTGGGTGGCTCAGTCGGTTAAGCATCCAACTCTTGATTTCATCTCAGGTCACGATCGCATGGTTCATGGGTGCGAACCCCACGCCTGGCTCCACATTTGCAGTGTGGAGCCTGCTTGGGATTCTCTCTCTCCTTCTCTCTCTGCCCCTCTCCTCTTACATGTGCGTGCACTCACTATCTGTGTCTCCAAATAAACTAAAAAAAAATATATATATATATATATATATAATGGAAAGAATGAGAAACTGATGGAGAGAATATGTGTGTCAAGGAAACCTTTTCAGTTTTGTGTTAGAAATTGGATTTCTTCATGAAGGGAAGAAACAATCTCGGTGGATGTAGGTGGGAAAACTTGCAGGTGTAAAAATAACTTGATAAAAAAGCTATTATGATTATCGGGGACGACAAGCACGTGTGTAAAATAAGTTTTGTAAACTTTGATTATGCATCATAGTGCCTTGTCAGGATTACAATTTGTGATTTTTCCCCCAACACAGCTTCTTGTATACATCCCTCTTACCCCCATCTCACATTCATTTATAAGCCAGCCAGGCGGAGACCAGCGTACTACATTGCCTCCCCTACCGTAGGTAACCTTGACATCGTGAAGCTCTCTTGACTCTGTGTTTTAACAATCCAGTAATAAGAATCCACTGAATGATCCTCATTAGAAAGCTAAGTAATAATCAGTGTTGAAAGCTTGTAATTGTAGTATGCAGTAGTGTTAAATGTTTCCGGTTTGTTTTCTTTTTGTAGAACACAAAGTAATTATAGTGGGACTGGATAATGCAGGGAAAACCACCATTCTTTACCAATTGTAAGTATAGTTATTTAAACAGTCTTCATTATTTTCATTACCGGGGCCAACCTTGTGTAATTAGTAAGATACCATTGTAATATAACGGGAAAACTTAAACATATGGTTTTGTATTTTACCGAGCACACAATGTGTTTCAAAAGTGAATTAAACTGCCGTATGTTTGGTACAGCCTTCACAGACACTTGTCTTTTTCCGACTTTGCAAGAAAGGCTTAATATTAAACCAAAATAAATAAAACATCCATAATCGTGCTACAGTGAGGTGATGTAGTGCATTTCACTTAATTCTTCCCACACCGAGGGTCACACAAGTAGACAAGTATCTCTAGGAAGCTTTTTGCCTCTCTCTTGACTAATAGCTGTGAATTGTTTAACTTAGCCAGACTTGTCAAATCAAAAGAAATGAAGATCATCCCCTGAAAGTCCTGCTTTTGCAGCTCGCAGCCAGGAAAGGCTGGCCACTTGCAGAGAAGTGCATTAATACTTGAAGGGAGTTTTAAGAGCCTATCAGTCCTCTTGTCAGAGTAGCTCTCCTTATCCTGTCGGGATTAATGAAACGATCCGTGTTAAGCGGTGGGACTGGATCTACACCGCAAGCACTGTAACAAACAGTCGTAAGATCCAGTGCACGGGTGTGTGGCTCTCACCTCTCCCCACCTCACCCTCCGTATGTCCGCGGACGGCTCTCCGGAAACACTTCACGTCAGCCGTGCCCAGTGTGTTTTTCAGCTACTTTGCGAGAAAGCTCCCCACGTGGCTGGTTGTTTTACGGTAGAATAACTACTTGTTTTACTTTAAAACATTGATCCATTGTCCATTATCTATTTTAATGTGACTTTGCCTTTAAACATCAAATAAAAACATGCCAGAAACCTGTCAGTTATTGAAATAACTTCCCACATAGATTCAAAAATGTATATAAAACCCAAGAGACAGTTGCAAGCTTCTCCCAAAACAGTGTCAGCATATTATAGGCAAATACATATTGAATGAATGAATTACTGTATCTTAATGAATAATTATAATAAATGTGGTATGAGCATTAGTATTCTAAATATATTTACAGTTAATTTTTAATTAAAATTTTCACTTGCCTATAGCCTTATCTTTTTAAGGCTGTGGTTTAGGTTAATAGGCCTGAGCTAATTTTTATGGCTGACCCAAATCTCAGTTTGCTCTCGTAGATAGTCTTCAGAATGATACGGAGCCCGCTATTTCAGTGGTTGCTGCTTGGCAAGCGCTGATGTCACAGTCACCTAGAAACTTGCTCTTTCGGGAAAGGGCACTGCTTTTGCTCTGATAACAAGAACATGGTGGTCTGGGATTTTGGCCACAGGAATACGAACTCACACCACAGGGTTCGCATCTCTCCAGATCAAGCCTTTAGTTTATTCCATTAAAAGAGAGAAAAAAGTCTTCCTTCAAGAGTTGTTCTTTGCCTAGGTATTTGTTTGCACACATTGTCCTCCAAAGTTCTAGTTTTGATGCTGTCGTCTGTACAAATAAGGAAGGTTGGTTCCTATTAAAGGGAGGGAGAAAACACCCCTCAGATTCTCAGGATTTACCAGAGATTTCTTATGGTGTCTTTCAACAGCTTAATGAACGAAGTGGTTCATACGTCTCCAACCATAGGAAGCAACGTTGAAGAAATAGTCGTGAAGAACACTCACTTTCTCATGTGGGACATCGGTGGTCAGGAGTCCCTGAGATCGTCCTGGAACACGTATTACTCAAACACAGAGGTATTCCAAGCCGATTTGCGCACGTTAACAACAGGCACCACAGAGTCAGCCCAGGAACTAGATAGGCAGTACGAAAGAGGCGTGCTGACAGTTGCTTTTCAACAAGATCCTTTTCTGTAAGGAGCTTGAGGTTTTCACATAGCAGAGAAGAGGCGAGTAGAAAGAGCGAAGCCCGCTGTCGTTGGCACGCGCACTGCAGGGCACACTCTCTCCGTTCACCCTCACGGCTGTCCGGTCCCACCTCTGCCCTGCGAGAAAGCGTCGGGTCACTTAGATGACCTGTCCCAAGGCCGCACAACCGTATGACACCCTGGTTAGGGAGGAATAGAAGATTTTTGAGCGTAACTGAATACAAGGTTTTCAAGTAACGTGAACTGAGCATTCAGAATGCTGCTGAGATTATATTTTCGTTGAAAAACAAATGGCTTTGCAGCACCCACCCCCAACTTCTCTGTCACTTACTTCGTCACTTTGCTGCTTCAGAGCCTGCCCAGGAAACAATCTGGACTGGCTTCTATTTCTGTGTTTATTTCTTGTTAGGCAGATTTTTTTTTTTTTAAACCATGCAGTGCTATCGAGAGAGATTTATCTTCGAGTATACTAATGTACAATTGCATCCATAATTTCCCTTCACAGACGACGACATCTGACCAATTCTTTTTTCCTAAAATGAAGCCCATTAAAAATTGAGTGGCTTTTTTGAAGGGCATGTGCAGAGGAGGTGGGGAGATGCAAGGCATTTTTGGTGAACAAGTTTCCTTTTTAAATAAACATGTATTCCTCTAGATTTGTATTGCAATAGCATACAATTCTACATATATATATTCCAGTGGAGTTTGTGATTGGTCCAACCAAAATGGCATATCCTAGATCTTAAGCAGTTATAGTAGCACTTAACATTTCTTTTTTTTTTTTAATTTTTTTTTTATATTTGTTTATTTTTGAGGCAGAGAGAAACAGAGCATGAGTTGGGGAGGAGCAGAGAGAGAGGGAGACACAGAATCTGAAACAGGCTCCAGGCTCTGAGCTGTCAGCACAGAGCCTGATGTGGGGCTTGAACCCACGAATTGTGAGATCATAACCTGAGCTGAAGTCGGATGCTTAACTGACTTAGCCACCCAGGTGCCCCACACTTAACTTTTCTTATTTGCAGGGGGAGACAGGTTGGTAAGCAAATACAGTTAGAGGTTAGCTTAATATATATGTCTATAGTAAAATAATATTCTGAAACTAAAAATGTTAGAAAGTGAGAGAGAAACAACCTTTTACTGAATGGCTACAATTGCCCCTTGAATGATGCAAGGGTTAGCGACACGGACCCACTGCTTGGTCAGAAATCCACATATACCTCGATTCCCCCCAAAACTTTACTAATAACCTACTGTGAAGCAGAAACCTTACAGACAACAGAAAGAGTGGATTAGCACACACTTTCTTTGCTGTGTGTATTATATGCTCTATTCTTATCATAAAGTGAGCTGGAGAAAAGAATGTTATTAAGAAAACCAAAAGGAGAAAATACGTTTACAGTCCTGTACAAAGAATCACATTTAAGGGAATCTGCTCAGTTCAAACTCCTGTTTTTCAAGGGTCACCTGTGTTTAAGCAGCACAGCTCTTGGTGCCTTGTCAGAGCTCACAATTACCTGCAGCTCTGAGGGAGAGGAGCAGCTATTTTTGCTGAAGAGGTTAAAGTTGGTTCTAGCTGATCCATGTATATTTATAGCCTTACAAAAGGAGGTTTTGAAGTTGCAGAAACTCTAGAAGACTTAGCACGGATCCAGAAAGACATCTGTTATTAATGACAGCATTTGCATGAAATGGTTTTTTTTTAATAACTTTTTCTAATTTAAAGTTTTTCTATAAGGTCTAGTTAGTTACCATACTGTAATATTGGTTTCAGGAGCAGAATCTTAATAAACCATTTCTATAAGAATTTCAAAATTACTGGGGCACCTGGGTGGCTCAGTCGGTTAAGCTTCTGAGTTTGGCTCAGGTCATGATCTCACGGTTTGTGGGTTCAAGCCCCGCATCATGCTCTGTGCTGAGGAATAGCTCAGAGCCTGGAGCCTGTTTCAGATCTTGTGTCTCCCTCTCTCTCTGACCCTCCCCTGCTCATGCTGTCTCTCTCTCTCTCTCTCAAAAATAAAACATTAAAAAAAAAAAAAAGAATTTCAAAATTACTACCCAGAACCTGTGGCCTTTATCATAGCACACTAGCCCAGCACTTAGCATTTGCAACCTTAGATTCTAGGTCGAGAGCCTGTCCATGTGATGCCCCCCCCCCCCCCCCCCCCCCCGCCATGTGGCCTTCATCACCCTTGTCATCTTCTTCTTTTCTTTAAGGAGTCCTCCCAAAGCCCAGCGTCTCCATTAGCATACAAGGAGTTCAGCTGTTGATGAATTCCTGCCACCTTCCTCACATTACGTTTTCCATATTCTGTCCATGAGAACTTGCCGTGTTTCTTCCCTCAATTCCTTCTATTTTCTTCCCTTTTATGCCCTTCCGAGCCCTTCACAATCTCTAAGCAGATTACTCTAGTTGTCTCTGCCTAATTTTAAGGTCATCTGAACAATCTGGGTTACCATCCCCCTCTCCATTTATTCTGTGTCACTCTTATAACCTTTAGCATCACTTAATCTCACTTCTTAATACTTTCTTCTGTCTAAGATATCTGACTAGGGGCCCTTTCGCACTGTATATTATTTTTCTTACCAAGGGTGCTTTTATTTTTAATGTGTCAGATCCCACTTTTTTCATATACACATTTACCAACACTTTTCTCTAGTTCTCTTTGCTTGCTGCTTTTTGCTTTCACCTACACCGGCTCTAACCTATTAGCCCCTAAGTGGGTGTGTTTCTGCTTAGGGCATTTTTTCTGGGGCTTTTATTGTTGGTATTGTTGTGTAAAAATGTCTTGTTCATTAGTTTGAGTGTGTGTGTTTCTCCTTTCCTTTCAAACTAACTTGTGTGTCCCTTTCTAATAGGCCGGAGGAGACTGTCTGAAACATAAATAATTACTGATTGCTTAAATAAGCAATCAATTAAACAGTTTTAGTGGGAGTTATTTAAATTACCATGACTTTCTCTTTAGAAATTATTGATTACCTGCATCTTAAAATAAATCTTAGTGTTACAGTGTATTGTGTGTTCAAACATCAGCTTTTCGAAATAAACTTGGGCATCAGTTTTATTTGTTGAACTGATGAGTTCTTATTAGCATTTGGATTTTACAGTACAATACAAACTCTTCATGATGAAAAAGCAGTGGACCGTTTTATAGTAATGGCGGCGGCGTGAAGAAATATTCTATCACTTGAGAGTCATTTTGCACAAAACTTCAACATTTCATTCACTTTTCTTTCTTTTTTAATTGTCTCCTAGTTCATCATCCTCGTGGTGGATAGCATTGACAGGGAGCGACTAGCAATTACGAAAGAAGAATTATACAGAATGTTGGCTCATGAGGTAAATGTTGAAAGTGAACACAAACAGTAGAGTAAGGTATCTGTATGGTGGTTTTGCTTTTTCACAAAGATTATATGCTTTGCTGTGAGTTATTTCATCATTAGCAAAGTTTTCTATTTTGATGGAAATCTTGAAGTCAAAAAGTTTCATTACCTTTTCACACTTGAAAAAAACTCAACACCTTAATTTGTAGCCTATTATCATTATTGATAGGATTTTTTCAAAGTTAAAACTACTCCTTCATGCCTTAAAGAGTCTGGTGAATTAAAGAAGAAAAAGGGAAAACTTAAGTGGTTTTTTCCCAAGAATTTATAATCACTGAAAATTCTTTAGTGAATAATCTGAGACCACTTAATTCTAACAGTTTAAGGTAGACAAAATGCTAAGGTAATAAAACACATTCATCCACCCACCATTCAATAGAAGATATTAAATATCTTATGAGACCCCCCATTTCACTTCCTTTCTTTCTCTTAAAGAGTCCTAAAAGAATTACATTATCCTAAAAGTAGTGAGAATCAATCCCATGTATATTTTCATACTTTCCCTACATTTTCTTTGTCAGTTGTACAAACTATTATATTTCATTGTTCATAAAATCTTTTTTAAAAATTTATTTTTGAGACAGAAAGAATATACATGTGCACAGAAGAGGCAGAGAGAGAGAGAGGGAGACAGAGAATCTCAAGAAAGCAAGCCAGACACGGGGCTTGAACCCACCAACTGCAAGATCATGACCTGAGCCTTAACCAACAGTCTCACGCTCAACCAACTGAGCCATCCAGGCACCTCATCATTGTTCATAAAATCTTATATAATGATTATATATTTCTGTAACTCCGTTTTGGGGTATTTTTTGCACAACATGTCAGTACATACAGCATTACTTCATTCCTTTTAACAGCTCTATGGTATTATTTTGTATGAATATACCACAGTTGATCTGTTCTATTAATGAACATTTAGATTATTTCTAATATTTTGATCATATGAACAGTTCTGCAGTGAGCGTAAATGATTGTGGTTAGCTTATACCAGTAGTCATAAGTATTGCCCAGCCCTTTACCCTCTGTGCTCTTCTTGAAATTGGAGAAATTATTGGGGCACCTGGGTGACTCAAGTCAATTAAACGTCCAACTTTTGGTTTCAGCTCACATCATGAAACCATGAGTTTGTGAGTTCAAGCCCCGCATGGGGCTCTGTGCTGATAGCACGGGGCCTGCTTGGGATTCTTTCTCTCTGCCCCTCCCTTGGGTGCATGCACATGCAGGTGTGCTCGCTCGTGCTCTCTCTCTCTCAAAATAAACTTTAGAAATAAGTTTGGAGAGATTCTGTAGTATTTGGCAACATATTACCATATTTGCCTATTAGAATATTGCTTACATAGTTTCAAATCAATGTTTAAGATGCATATTTACTTTTCGTCTGACCCCTTTGGCCCAACAATATAAAAATAAATTATCTAGCTTATGTTATTTAGTCTTTGTTAGAGCCAATCATTAAATCACTATTGAGAAAATTTTTTTATCTCAGTACAATTTTTATTTTATTTATATTTATTTTGTTAAGTTTTTAGTTTTTAAAAAAATTTTTTTTAAATGTTTTTATTTATTTCTGACAGACAGAGACAGTGTGAGCAGGGGAGGGTCCGAGAGAGAGAGGGAGATACAGAATCTGAAACAGGCTCCAGGCTAGCTGTCAGCAGAGAGCCTGACGTGGGGCTCGAACCCACAAAGGGCAAGATCATGACCTGAACCGAAGCCAGACGCTTAACCCACTGAGCCACCCAGGTGCCCAGAGTTTTTAGTTTTTTTTTGTTTTTTTTTGTATTTTTTTTTTTAAAGTTTTATTTCTAGGAGAGAGAGACAGCGTGAGCAGGGGAGGATCAGAGAGAGAGGGAGTCACAGACTGAAACAGGCTCCAGGCTCTGAGCTGGCAGTCTAGCACAGAGCCCGACGCGGGGCTCGAACCCACGAACCGCGAGATCATGACCTTAGCGAAAGTCGGACGCTTAACCGACTAAGCCACTCAGGCGCCCCTTTAGTTTTTTTTAAGGAAGTTCTTGTTTCAGTGTCGCGCTTGAACTCATGACCCTGAGATCAAGAGTCTCCTGCTTTACCGACTGAGCCTGCCAAGTGCCCCTCAATAAAAATTTTAAGTTAAGTGTTACTCCCTAATCAATCAGTTTAAAGTAGAGAGATTTCATTCTAACTGTCCAGTTGGGCATATTTGACCTTCCTGCTTCATTAGTTTAATTTGAGTTGGGATACTTCGTGTGTTAGAAATATTTCATATCGATTGCAGGATTTACGGAAAGCCGCAGTCCTGATCTTTGCAAATAAACAGGATATGAAAGGGTGCATGACGGCAGCTGAAATCTCCAAATACCTCACCCTTAGTTCAATTAAGGACCATCCGTGGCACATTCAGTCCTGCTGTGCTTTAACAGGGGAAGGGTAAGTGCTAAGCGATGTGGGGGGAGGTATGACTCCTTTCAGATTTCTAGCAACTTTTTTAAGGCAGCTTTTTTTCTCCTTTGATGCTGTTCTGTTTGTTTTTGGTTTTTTTGTTGTTGTTGTTATCTACAAAAAGATAGTTTCTGTATTGTATTTCAGTTTTATAAAGTAAAAATAATTTTAGCCAGTTACTGTTGTTAAATTACACTTCAGCAAAGTTACTGACGCGTGGTTTGTAACTTTTAATATAAACAGAATGTTTTAGCATAAAAAGCCAACAACAAACTTTTGAATTAAGTTTTCACACTCCAGATTTTTAGTTGATGTTCATTTCTTGCTGTTACCATTTACTAACTGGGGGGGGGGAAACTGTACTGTTGCTTGAATTAAAGAGGAAGCTCCAAAGAAATTTCACATTTCGCTAAAGGCTTAATTAAGCCTGAGCTTTCAGCTTTCCCCAAGACGACATCTCCTTTATGATCAGGAGTTGTTTGGTGGCATACCTCGAGAGACTGACTAAACATTTAAGATAGACGCTTATGATAGTGTATTCTTCTTTCCTAAGAACTTGAGTTTGCATAGAGTAGGCCAAAGAGACCCAGTGTGCTATACATGAATGATCCAGTTTATTTCCAGGTATTTATCCTGGAATCAGCCTGACCTTCTTAGTTATGCTATGAGAAATTGCTTGTGATACAATAGCTATATGTAGGCTTTTCTGACCTTGACTTTTAAGACTGATGCGTAATCATTCATTCCATTCTTTTGCATTCAGGAGGGTAGGGCAAAGCTCCTGTTGCCTTTATATAGTGGTTTCAGTTTTATCTTAAAGGGGGAGAGGAGCATTTGCAATCTTGATGGCAAAACTGCCGGAGCCGTTCTCTTCAAGCTGAGACTGAGGCAATTTCCCAGTTACTCAACTGATTAACATCATTTATTCTACGTGAATCTTCCACTTAAAAATTCCGCGTCTTACGGCGTTACCTCCATCTTGTCACTTAACGTGTATAAATAATTAGTGGAGTACCAACAGTTGGGGAAGACTTAAAAATAATAAATGTGCTTTCAGTTCTACAGTTGAAATATTTTCATTTTGAAAATGCTTCTGTCTTTTGTTTCAGGTTATGCCAAGGTCTAGAGTGGATGACGTCCCGGATTGGTGTGAGATAACTTTTTGCCTGAAAAGAGACTGCTCTATTTATTCTGTGACATGAACATTTTCCTAGTACCTTTGGCTGCTAAGGCAGCAGCATGTTTAATTTATAACAACACAAACCTCTATGAGCAACACTTGAATCAAGTGCAGCTGAACTGGAACATGAAAGATTTTTTCTTAACTTTTTTTTAATGCACTAACCTTCAGTTGGATGATATAACTGTGTTTTCAGCAACGTAATTCTCCTGACTGCTGATTCCGATTACTCAATGACTGCCTTGTAAGAAATGTGTGTCATGCGTTTGATGTTTTCTGAAGTATTGTAATAACTTTAACGACCAATTCCTTTCATTTCTTGACCACCTCCTTTCCCTACCAGATAATTCCTGGTTTGACAGAAAAGTAGTAGTGGAAATCATCAGATACTGCTTGTAAACATAACCAGCACTAAATATTTGCTCCCTCTTTAAACCACTTCTCTTTTGGACAGAGCTTATTGTAGAGAAAGAAATCAACCTAGAAGATATCTATGAAAGGAAAATGAACCATCATGAGAACTGCCTTGACAGAAGTTAATTTTGCCCAATTATTACAAGGCACGGAATAATTTTAAGTTACTCTTAGTGTGGAAATTAAGTAGGCTGTTTATCTAAAAGAATTAAATTTACTTTTCTGCCTCCAACACGAGATTAGTTTTAGCTAAAAACTAGTCGGGAAAATATTTGAAAGCCCAACTTTGATGGTAAATATTGTGGAGAACTCCGATATTTCAAAACTCACACATTATTCAATGCGTATGTTAATTATCGGAAGTTATTAAAGCATACCAGCACTAATACGAAAATAAGACATTTGGAATATATTTTACTATCAATTAGAAACAAGTTTATTATCAGCAGAGACTTCAATGATTCTGTTTGCAAGGGAGAGCACATTTGCTGGGGGCAGTAGCTAAAGCAGAAGTACAAACATTTCCTTTTAAAATTTGAAGTTGTGTGTGGATTTTGAATGGTGTTTCTACCACCAGCATTGTATTACTTAGAAACCGCTACGGCTTTCTGTAGGTCCATCTGAGGTTATAGTGTGAGAGGCTTCAGACACTTGCCTTCTCTCTTCTTACCCCTCATGTTCTAAAACCTTCTGGTGGATTACAGGAAACTGCTGAATTGAATCCTAGCTTTTAGAGTGTGACACAAGACTCAAAGTTAACAGTGACATGTTAGAAGTTAAAAAGTGGGAAGAAGAGCGTCCTAATCTATCAAAAGTTTATTATATATCATTAAAAAGTTCGGTCTAACCCGAGCAGTAATCTGACTAGTGCATACTTAGGAGTGAGCACAAGTAATTCTAGTTTTGATCTCCTATTTCCAAAATGTGATTTTGCTCTCATGAAAGGGATAAAAATGCATCCTTAGAGAATAATACTTCATTTTTGCAGTATTTTTTTTTTCATTTGGGTCAAAAGTACAATTCAGTGTTCATAAGAATATCTAAAAATACCTGTTCAAAAGTAGTATTTTAATTTTAACATTTTTTATTGTAAATCGGTTTTAATTTTGCTCCGTTTTCAGGTATACTTGATTTATTATATTTAGTCTAATTTAGACGAAAGTGATAACATTTTCTTTCTATTTAGTGGTAGCACACCCTACAACTGAGGAAAGCTTTCTGGACTTAGGGAACTAGTGGTTATTAACCTTGTTTTGAAGCTTTTTCTTAGTGAGTCTATACTGGGTAGAGGAAAAATACTGATTTTAATAAAATCTGTAATCCTAGACCATGAGCGGAAAGCAAACATAAACCAATATGGATGCTTTGTGGTATATGTTTGGGGGCAGGAGGAAGTACAAAAATACAGTTTACCTAAAGCACACTTTGCCAGAATATATATCTTGGTTCTAGAGTTGAGCCATAAATTCTAAGGATAATTCTCTTAACTTCATCTGGGAAAACATAGGTAATACAGGACAAAGTTCTGTATCCATTCTTATTAGGAAATTTATCTTCTTATATGTAATAGGATTGGCTGGCTCAGTTTTCTTCTATCAAATTATACAGTTGTGGGCTTTTTTTTGGTATTACCACATCAGCATTATATTGAAAGTGTTTTTAACAGTTGATTGTATTTTGTCAAACATCTACTACTAGTATAGATTGAAGTTTGCTATTTAATTTTTTTAAATACAGTTTATTTTATTTTCTAAACTTTTTAAAAAAGCATTTTGTTAGTTTGGGATCAGAAATGGTTTTGCTAGCTGTGTTGAAAATGAAATCAACATCCCACTAGTTTCTGTGGCAATGATTGGGAACAGTTCAAATAGGAAATTCACGTAAGACTTTTTAAAAGTGTTTTATAGGTTCTCGTTAGATATTTGTTAGATATTTCCTGTTACAATAATATGAAAACTGATTATCCTTTACTCCAAGAGAATGTTTTGACGCAAGCAAGTATCTAATACTAAAGCATTGATTCTGACATTCATTGTAAATCAACTCTAAGATTCTGTCTGATGACAAATTTGTAAATTTGTGATTAGTGCCTTTATTCACATTTTGAGATGAGTTCTTAGCTTTGTACTATACCTGTTCTTTAGAATTCACATTAGCAGCTAACTCATTTGACAGTGACATAAATTCGAGATTCACCCTCCCTGCCACCCCTTCAATTGCCTAGCAAAGTTTTCTAGTAAGTACCGGAAAGCAAGGGCCCCACTCCCCCCCCCATATTATGTTCAGGAGATTATTCTAGATTCTGTGGGGTTTTTTTGAGGATAAACAAGTTTAACAAATCTTTTCAGTATTTTATTAGGACTAAATGTAACTGCTACCCAAATATGGCATTTTTCTTCAGTTTGAACATGTTACATTCTCATTTAAATACATTTCCTGGTTACAGCCCATTTGGGAACTTTTAGAATTAACAGCCCTTTTATATGGGAGTATACTACATAATATGTATTCTTAGTATAATTTAATTCCTTCAGATCTGAAATAACATGCAGTCCGTTGGAAAACGAATGGTTAAATACGTAATTTTTGCTTTTAGGTTCTGTGTTAGTATGCTTAAAGGTATAATTTTATTCTTTGTTAAAGAAAGGTAATAAATTCAAGCTTTATTGTTAAAAATAATTTTTATATGGGCACTACCCCTATAGCCATAGTCATTTTGATTAAGCACAAGTTAACTTTTATTTTCTAGAGCATAAAGAGAAAATAATTATTTTCCTATGGAAACAGTGAGTGATACAGGCAGTGCTGTAAACAATATTCTCTGAAGAGTCATTGAAAGTTAACAAAGCAAAGAAATTTAAAGAAAATCTTTATATTTTTAAAAATCTTTTTGGTGTAGTTAGTATCTTAGGACAAATTCTAAATGGGATTGTCTGTGACTAGCACTCTTTTAATTCTTAACTACATAAAATAAAACTATATCAGTAGAAAAACATACTGGTATTATGCCTGTAAATGGGGAAGTTCCATTGACATTTATCTTTGAAGAGCAACTTCATGAGTCATCTATGGCTTTAGGTCCAAAATATTTCATATCAAGTGCAATTCTAAAAGATCTTTTATATTTTGCTGGGACAAAGCCACTTCGAGATTCAGTCTGATGAGTTGGATCTAGTAGAATATTGTGCTGGCTGTCTAAACAAGTGGTTTTGAACCTTAATTTGGCCATTGGGTGTCTAGTGACTTTAGACAGCATTCATGGTCTCTCTGTTCTTTTTCCCCCATCCTGAGGAACTTAAGCCAACTAAAAGAACTCCATCCTGTCTTTTGGTTTTAAAGTCCTGAATCGTTAAACACTATATTAAAGTTGAAAAACCCAAAAAATTCCTAGGATAGGACCCATAATAAGAAATTAAATTCACTTTTATCTTTTGAATCCCACCTCATCATCATTTTGTTTCGTTTGTGAATACAATCAAATAAAACAAAGTATCAACTAGTAACTAGCACTCAGCTTAAATAAACTAGGAGCTAGTGACAGTGCAGAAGAGAAAATAAGCCATATTGCCAAGGAAATGATTTTAAGCTGCTGATAAAACACCAGTGTATGTTTAAAATGCTCTCTTCTTGGGAATACCTTGCTCATTTTCCTGGCTTTTTCTAATTAGAAGTGGTTAGTTTGTTCAGAGTTTATTCGCTTTTGATACTACCCCAAACTCCCAGTTCCGCTTGACTTTCCAGTGTTGAAAGGATACTGCAGCTTGGCTGTCAGTATTTTACAAATGTCTGTATAAATCTGAGAGCAGTTTATATTCAAGGTTAGTTCCTTCAGTAATGTCTCATCCTTACTCATTTAGCATTACTGTGAAGACTGAAATCCAAGTCAGATTCCCAAAAAGTATTTTTTGAGAGTTCCATGTGGCCAAAATTAAATAGAGAAGGTCAAAAAAATTTTTTTCAACTTTTTCCACTTTAAGGTAGAAAACTACTGTGTTCAAGAGATCCAAAATCGGTTTTAAATGCATATGATTTCATAAAATGTTTGGGAAAAGTTAATTTGGAGTCATACCTAGAAACGAAGGTCAAAACAATTGATAGTAAAGATAAACATGAGGTAGAAAAGTCTTCAAAAGGCTATTAAGTGATAGAAATTGTGAATGAAAGTGAATTTCCATCACTAAGGCACTTAAAATTACTAGAAATAAAGTACGGCCTTTTACTCTAGATCTAGATATCTTACTTTTAAAGTGGCCAAAGAACCAAAGACTGATCAGGTTTTTAGAATCTGTTAGTGTTGTCAAGTCACATCTTTTTTATTTTTTTCTTAAATGGTAGTCTGCATTGTCTTCTAGAAATGGAGAGGTAAGAAAACGTGCCGTGCATATCTTTTGCAATAGATAACAAAGTTCTAGAAGAATGGAAATGTTTCTTGCACAAACTTTGTAGTATTTTAATTAAAAAATTACCTCATTTTTCAGTCCATAAGGTGCTTTGCTCAAGCTTGTAGGACGTCGCACCCATAAAAACCCCCTTCCCCCGAACTCTGAAATATGCAAAGTTCACAACTAAGGGGTAGCGTTCCTTGGAAATTCTGTTTTATTCTTGTTAAGATGGTTTAGCAGATTCTTACAGCACACAGACATGTGTGTGCTCAGTCAATACTTAGTTTCAATAAAATCAAATAAGGGCAAGGAAAACCCTCAAGTTTGATTGATTCTATTATACTGTGACTATATTTCCATCAATGTTGGGACGATATCAAAGGACTATCATTTGATCTCGGTTGTGCATAATTTATTGCACATTTTGGCCCATGTCACAGGAGACTCTTGTCATTTTAATCCTATTTTCTTCAGGGAGTCAGCAAGCCTCTATTTTATTCTCTTGGAGTAAACTGTTCAGTGTAGCTCTGAAAGTTTTAATTTCAATTTAAAAATGTAGCTGCTATTTCATTAAAAGTGTGAAATACAATGATGGTTATGATTTTTTCCAATTATGTAGTAGTTTTAAATTTTACCGTATTTATTGTACAGAGCATGGTTTAAAAAACACACACACAAAAGCAATTACAACCTTGTTCCTGTATTTCTCCTACCCAGAATATAATGATTATAATCACACATTGCCATCTTAACAGAAATTGGTGCTTTAGAGCATTAAAGAGGAAACAGCAAGCCCTGTATAATACACTTCTTGCCTCGGAATATAAAGCTACTTTAAGATGTATTTATATTTGTGCTCATTTCTTAAGGTTTAAATACAACTGTTCTCCATCTACTTCAGGCCTTCTACAAAAGCTGTAACAATATCGTAGCTAATCATCTTGGTCAATAGATGATGTTAATGCTGGCAAAACTCTGAATTGGATCTCTCTGTGGGTCCTGCCATATTGCATAGAGGGGAAAAAAAGAATGTCTTTCACGCCACAAACCGTGCTTCTTAACCCCAACCAAGCAGCTGAAATGTGTGCTGGTGGTCTAATATATGGCATTAATAAAATTAAAAGAGCAAACCAATTGCTGAATGCATTCACATCATCACTTCTTGCAAATGGTTCAAAGCATGTTCTACTAATAGTAGGGCTGTTTAAAGACATGTTTTAAAAATTTTAATAGTTTCATTACTGTCATAAAATGCTTCTTTTATATGTTAAGTTTAGGTTGCTTGGTACTCGCGATTTTTTTATTTCTGCAATTATGTTATAATGAGTTGCTTGCATGCCTACTCACCCAAGGAAAAAGGATGCTGTTTGCTCTGGAATGTTCATCTTTTAGACAGGTTTTGGCTCATTTGCAATCATGGTGCAATACAGTGTAACATTCATTTGTTTTCAGTCAACAGTTTTATTTTTGTCATAATAAAGAATTACTTTTCCAATATGACATGAACTCGGTGGTTTTCTTTAAAGATAAAAATCTGTTCGAACAATCTTTTTGTTGCGACTGATAGAAACTCACTTAAGCTAACGAAGCAACAGAAGTTTAGTATTAAGGGTGAGAGGTCAGGTTGTGGGTGCTCATAGAACCCAAGGTCAGGGACACAGCTGGTTTTTTTTAATAGGTTAGGACCAGAGACCCAGGGATGCCAAGAAGAAACCAGAAAGTTCTTTATCTTATCCATCTCTTCTTTTCCACTGGTTTCCTAGGCAGGCCACGTGGCAGAAAATGCCCACATCAAATAGCTTCTATAGTTTTACCTTTGTGCAAGGAAGAAGCCAGATGATCATTAGGTTCTTAGTTATGTGGTCAAAAATTGCCCTCCATATTTCTGAATCAAAATATAACATGAAGACAGGGTTTGGAATAAAGGGGAGCAATAGCTTTAGGGTGGGCCAAGACCTTCCAAAACTGCCAGCTGGGGAATTTCACCGAGAAATACAAGATCTAGCCGGTTTCAGCAGGGGTTGGGGACATGCTGCCAGCCTTGTAGGTCAGGTTTGCAGTGGGGCACGGGGTTCCTGAAACAAAAGCTAAGAAAGGAGGGCTGGCTTGCGGAAGAGGGGGGAAAAGGTCACAGTTTAAAAATTGAGCCTCGCTGAAGTCTTAATGCAGCCATTTCTATTTTTATTTTTGTTCATGGTTATGTTTCTAATGGGTTTCGGTTACATTTTCATATTCCCCAGGGAAATGGTTCACTTCCCTGCATTGGGTCAGTTTCTCTTTCTGCTCTGAACAACTACGGCTTGGCGGGGAATCCCTGGGCTGTTTTCAGGCAGTCCAAGTGGGTGTGTAGTGTATAAGAGGCTATCTGTTTGGTCTTTGAACCCTGATCCTGAGACAAAACTTCTCAACCCCTTGGAATTTCCTGAATGGTTGCAATGCCTTTTGTCATTCAGAGGCAGGCTCCTTTGAGCTTATGTTAATGAAGTGACTCAGGGTGGACCCATAGAAAGGCTCAGGGTGTAGCTGGTCCAGAGGAAGATCAAATGAATAGAAGGCTGGAACTTTTATCCCCTCCATCAGCCTCTGTAGTCTGGGAAGGGAAGCGGATGCTGCTGCTGAAGCTCTGGGAAAACTTGTCAAGATTGATAAGCTTCCGGGTTAGTGAACACATCCATATGCCGAGATGGTGGTACACCCTGTTACATGGGGACTCTCAGGCTTTGCTCTAAGTACCTCTCCATCTGGCTGTTCTGTATCCTTTACAGCAAACCGGTAAATATAAGCAAATGCTGAGTTCTATGAGCCACTCCAGCAAATTGATCAAACCCAAGAAAGGAATTTCAGGAACCTCCCATCTATAGCCAGAGACACAGATGACAATCTGGACTTGGCATCTGAAGTGGGGAGGGTGGGGAGAGCACAGTTTTGTGAGAGTAAGGCTTTAATCTGTGGGATCCGACCCTATCTCCAAGTGGATAGTATCAGAATTGAGCTAAGTTGGAGGATACCCAATCGATGTCTGCTAAGAATTGGAGAATTGTTTGGTGGTGTTCGAAAAACACATTGGAATGTGTACTCCACTGTGAGGTGTAATTGGGATCTTCTGCACATTGTTCTTTAAATTGTATTCTAATTTAAAATTTTTTGAGATGTAGTCTAATATTGGATAGGACCATTCATCTTCATTATAGTCATTAATTAGTTTCCTGGAAAGTAGTGTCTTAATACCCTCCTTTTTTCAAAGTCCTCTCTGAGAATGTAATGGAGGATGCCTATCTATATTGAAAAATTACACCTACATACTGATGTGAAACACTGGTATCTGGGAATGAACGGTCAAAACTTTTTGAGGCATCTTTGGTGCAAAAATGGTGGTTTTATTAAAGCACAATTTCCCACTGTCAGAAGGAGCCTCAGCGGGAGTGTGAGAAGTGACTGGTTATATACTTTCAAATTGGAATGGGGTTAGGGGTAGGGGAAGTCTCTAAAGAATCTCGAAACAAGGTTTCTAGGACCTTGAGGGGCTAGTTGTTGGGATGAGGTCACTTACTACTATCTCGTGAAACCTTAGTCAGGAGACCCTTTAGATGTGTATCATTGGGTCATATGTTTGGAGGATGATTACTAACATATAACTTGGAGACAAAGGAACTTTCCAAAGGAATACACACACACATAAGGCCAATGTCAGGCCAAGGTTATCTTTTGCCTTTAGCCGAGCATTCACATTGAAATTGCTGAGTTCCTGGAGGAAGGTCACCCTGCCTGTCCTAAGTACTTGTCAATGGAAATTTAATTCTTTTCTTGCCTTTGTTCTCCACAATTTTGTATAGAGAGTTAGGAAAGCCTCTGTGTACGAGTTCTGCTATACTATAGGACTTCATTACCCAAACATTCCAATTTCTTATGAGAAACACTCAAACTCCATAAGGTTTTGTCCTGCCTATTTTTAATTGCTTTATGTAGGTATAGTTAACACATAAACTAGACCTATTGAAGATGTACAATTTGAAAAACTGATGTGTGTACATTCATGACACCATCACCGCAATCAAGATAATGAATTCTCTTGATCATTCCTCCAATTTTCCTAGAGTCCTTTGTAACTCCTCCCTTCTGCTCAAATCCCAACCTCCAAACTGTTTTCCGTTGCTCTATTTTGCTTTCACAGAATTCTATAACATCCCTCAGCACAATTGTTTTGAGGTTTACTCATTTCATTTCATAGATCGATGGTGCATTGCTTTTTCTGCTGAGAAGTATTCCCTTGTGTAGATGTGTCACAATTTTTCTACTCCCTGTTAGTGGACATTTGTGTCATATCTAGCCTTTGGCTATTACACGTGAAGCTGCTAGACCCATTGAACACTCGTATGAAAGTCTTTGTGTAAACATTTGCTTTCATTTCCCTTGTGTAAACCATGGAAACTAAGAATGGAATGGCAGGGATTTATGGTAAATGTATGTTGCACTTTTTAGGAAACTGGGACACTTTTTCAGAGTGATTGTCCCTTCAGTTACATTCTTCCTGTTGGTGTATGACAGGCAGAATTGGTTCGCCTTCTTGCCAGCAGTTGGCCTGGTCGCTGATTTTAGACATAAGCACCTCCTTGGTCACTGATTTCAGACATAGGTGTCTCATTGTAAGTGTAATTTGCATTTCTCTAATGGCTGATGAGGAACATCTTTTTTTTTTTTTTTTTTTTTTTTTTTTGAGAGAGAGAGAGAGAAACAGCGTGAGCGGGGGGTAGGGGTCAGAGAGAGAGGGAATCACAGACTCTGAAACAGGCTCCAGGCTCTGAGCTGGCAGTCAGCACAGAGCCCAACGCGGGGCTCGAACCCACGAACCGCGAGATCATGACCCAAGCGAAAGTCGGACGCTTAACCGACTAAGCCACCCAGGCGCCCTGAGGAACATCTTTTCATGTGCTTGTTTGCCATCCTTCTATCTTGGCATAGTGTTTTGTTCAAATCTTTTCTTCCTTTTTAACTGGATTTTCTTAAGAGGTGAGTTTCAAGAGTTACGCAGTTTGCATATAAGCCGTTTATTAGCTAAGTTGTTTAGCTGTGTCCCAATCTGCAGCTTGCCTCTTCATCCTCTTAGCAATGCCCTTTTAAGACATTCTGTTTTTCATGCCATTCGTCATTTGCAGATGGCCAAATACAGGAACATTGATCCTGGAGTTCTGGCTAATCATACAGTTAAACTGACTTAACAATCCTCTGTAGCCTCTACATATAATGTGTAGTGTTCTTAATATCCATGTGGATAGCCCCAGCTTGCTTAGAACATGCTTCCTGAGAGTGGAATTTTTTGTTTGTTTTCTAAACAGAAAGTCTGATGTCAAGAATATAATTTTTAAAAGTATAAAACTCTTATAGAACTATATGGCGAGCATCTGTCAAAAATTGTGTTTAAGTCATTAATTTGAGAAACAGCAGGCTACAAACCTGATTCAAAGGAGCACACTACAGAAAAACTTACAGGGACACCTGAGTGGCTCAGTTGGTTAAGTGTCTAACTTCGGCTCAGGTCATGATCTTTTTTTTTTTTTTAATGTTTTATTTATTTCTCAGAGAGAGAGATGGCGTGAGCAGGGGAGAGTCAGAGAGAGAGGGAGACACAGAATCTGAAGCAGGCTCCAGTTTCTGAGTTAGCTGTCAGCACAGAGCCTGATGTGGGGCTCAAACCCACAAACCGTGAGATCATGACCTGAGCCAAAGTCGGATGCTTAACTGACTGAGCCACCCAGGCGCCCCTCAGGTCATGATCTTGAGGTCTGTGAGCTCAAGCCCCACATCGAGCTCTGTGCTGACAGTTCAGAGCCTTGAGCCTGCTTCAGATGCTGTGTCTCCCTCTCTCTCTGCCCTTCCCCCACTCACACTTTGTCTCTCAGAAATAAAAATAAACATGAGAAGAACTTACAAACTTACTCACTGTCTACATGTTTCCAGCTAACTTTATCACGTCTGAGTCCTCATGGATGGTAAATAGTCAAACAAAGTGGCATCATCTTTACAAGGGCAGAGGGTCCTTCAGCTGACTTGAAGGTTGATGCCCTAGGATGACTTTGAAAGGGCATGGTAATCATTCTGCCTTCTTTCCAAGTTTTCATTAAAATTTTCAAAGCAGAAAATAATTTTTTTCATTTTATAAAGACCCTGGCCTATCGACATACGGAATACAAAGTGGGTTGCAGGGAAGGGAATCAGACAACCAAGAGACAGTACTGTTCTGGTGAAAAGGAGTGAAATCCAGTATAAATACTGAGGTAGTGCTGAACAGCCTCTCTGACTTGCCATCTCCAAAACCCACGATGGTTCAAACCAGAATAATTAGGCAGATAATCTCCTGCAACCAAGAGCTACTGGGAAACCAAATTAGAGCGCCCTCTAGGCAGTGGCTTGGTAGCTACCCAGGATTTACCCCCATGACAATTGATTCATAAAGCGGCCGTGTGCTGGCACAGAGAGATTGCTTTGGTTCAGCACCCTTT